GAGAGACACAGCGAGAGAGGGAACACAAGCAGGGGGAGTGGGAGAGGGAGAAGCAGGCTTCCCGCGGAGCAGGGAGCCCGATGCGGGGCTCGATTCCAGGACCCTGGGATCATGACCTGAGCTGAAGGCAGACGCTTAACGACTGAGCCACCCAGGTGCCCTGATTGTTTGGTTTTCAATGGCTTTCTGACAAAAAATTTAATTTTTATCCTTATACAAATTAAGTACCGAGTGCTTGGAAGGAAATGACTGAATCACATTCATTTCTGATTCCCCAGAGCTTATATCGTCTTTGGCACAGAGTAGGCAACCACCACAACGAAACCCCCAAATATGTTAAATATTGAGCAGACCCTTCTTTGAGTCACAGGAACAAAGCATAGTCAATATGGCTTGTACACACGAGTGCTTTCCTGCCCGTGCCTTCATCCATTTTAGGGACCAGAGATCATATAAAATAGCACTTGTTTGTATCTATATCATAAACATTCAATAGGATCTTTTTTTTTTTTTAGTAGGCTCCATGCCCAGCATGTTGCCCAACACGGGGCTTGAACTCATGACCCTGAAATCAAGACCTGAGCCTGGGATCAAGAGTCGAACACTTAAACCAACTGAGCCACCAGGCAGCCCTCTATTATTTTCTATTTAATAGCGTCTACAACATTCAGTTATTCAAAAATCATCACAGTGATTTTCATAAGTATGAAAAAGAAAAGGCAGAATGAGAAGGGGAAGATAAATTTTACTGTGTAGGCTTAGACACCTTTTAGGATTTCCAGTGCCCTGAGACAAGAGAGCCTCCAGATTCTCTGCCATATAACCCAATAAAAGGTTATTAAAACTTTTAGGATTGCATTTCATCAGTAAATCCACAAGAACAATAATGATCCAAATTCTGGTTACAGGGGCGTGTGGGTGGCTCAGTCAGTGAAGCTTCTGTCTTGGGCTCAGGTCCTGATCCCAGCGTCCTGGGATTGAGCCTCGAGCCTCGGATCAGGGCTCCCTGCTCAGCGGGGAGTCTGCTTCTCCCACTTCCTCTGCCCCTCCCCCCTTATGCTCTCTCTCCCTCAAATAGATAAATAAAATCTTAAAAAAAAAAAAAAAAGCAAAAAAACAAATTCTGGTTACAAAACAATGACCAAATATTTATTAAGTTCCACTTTAGATGGAATTTTAGATGCCACACATCTCTGGAGATGGCTGTTAACCTTTTGATTTCCAGAGAAGTGAGGCCAGCACAGATAGGTTGAGGGATTTACATGTCTTCCTGTGAATTAGGATACTGGACCAGTGATTTTCAGGAGCACTTATGGCAGTAATATGGTGGATCATAGGACTTCCCATGAATAGTAACGCACTTTACAGCCCAGTCTGAAAATCTGAGATACGGAAATATTATACCCTATGTAAGATGGGAATTTTTATATGGAGCTATCACAGAATGACTATTATTAGATACTTGAGAAATATTCTGTTTCTATACTTTAATAATAGCATGTAGTTGATAGCAACTAATTTTTCTACTGGGAAAACAAATGTAGGCAATAAGTAGTGAAATTGAACTTGCATTGATTTTTATTTTTTTATTTTTAAAAGATTTTATTTATTTATTTGAGAGAGAGAGAATGAGAAAGAGAGCACCACTGATCTAAATGTTAATCTCAGCCAAAAAATACTTAAAAATACTACCAGATTCTTGATATAGAAGTCCTACTTCTCCCTAAATTGCTCAGTCATTTGAATGCATTTGATGACTGATAAACTCACATGTTTATGTATGTTAACTTAAAAATTAAATCTGAGTTTTTTTATTAAGATGTATGAAACTTGAAAGTCAGAAGGAGTACAGGCACTATCCCTCCTGAGAAGTGGAAGGCCTCAGACCCTACAAAGGACATTTACTTTTCCTATGATCTTGGTCCATTAATATTAACAAGCCCTCAGAGATTGGGAGAACACAGACCAATTTGGTTAATTATGAGCTCCGTGCATTGAGCTTTCAAGCCCACATAATTGTAAATAATTGGCTTTTGCCCTGCAAACTTTCAGTTGGCCAGTCCCAGCACGGTTGGATCTGTGTGTGTGTCTTCTCTTCCCAGAGTCACTGTATGCATCAAGGGGTCCATACCTGACTCTGTCTTCCTGCCCGTCCTGAGAACAGAGCCTGAACCTTCATCACTCACAGGCATAAGAAGGGTGATGGATCGCCATTTCCTTGTCATGCCCCAGCATAGAGGCCCCACAGTCCAGTGAGTGATATTGGAGATACTGGATACAGGAACAACCAGGGGAGCATTGTTTCTTCATCATCAGGACAAGCAGGATAGTTGGAGTAGCCGGGTGGAAGGGCAGCAGTATGCAGGTTCAGCTCAGAGGCCTGTGGAGTTTATATTCTTGGTTCTGGTGGGAATCTGAGAATTGTCATTCAGAGTTCAGCTTTCCTCCCACACTGGTTCTAGCTCCTGTAGGAATCTCCCTCACCAGAGCAGGAAATAAGTCCCTCTGAACTGTCCCTTAAACATTCCACAATGACCATGAAAGTGATGATGAAGATGAGCAGGGGAATGATGCCCGATGACCATATACATGATATCATGAACCTTTATTAAGGATTCCAGTCCTGGGCTCTGAAATAAGTGCTTTATGTAGACTGTTTCTTTTTACCTGCCTAGTCACCCCTAAAATATATGTGTACACATTATTGTTCCTTTACAGATGAGGAGAGCATTATAGCCTTTTAATGTAACTTGTCCCCGGTCTTGGGAAAGAATGGGATGAAGCCAGGTTTCAGTCAAACAGTCTGACTCCAGACACAGTGCACCTGGCCAGTATTCTCCCTTTGCCAATGCAAACAACCGTTTTGCTTCTCTGGTCATTCCATCCATGCACTCTCTGCTCACTGTGTTCTTCTCTTTGGAGGTTACTGGTAAACCACAGTGGTGTGCTGTTGGTGCAGAACTATAGGAATGATGGCTGAAGATCGTTGGCAGGGATCATAGAAAAAGCCGACTCATGACAGTTTAGGGTAGATTTTTTGTGCACGCCCCTGCTCCTGGATTTTGCCTCAGCTGTCCACTTCCTCTTCCATTCTAATAAGTTAGTCCTTCTCCATTTCAAAGGGAGACACAACGTCAATGTCTCAGGTTCCACCCACACTCAGGAAACCAGAAACTATTAAAAGATGTACAATAGATGTGCTATTGGTTAAGACCTATGGATCTCTGCTTTAAAATTTCTGAATTTTAACAGTAAAGAAATTAACTGCATGTGCCTCAGATCCACAATATAATTTTAAGTCCTATCTTCTCTACTTGTTATCTAGTGAGCTGGAGCAATTTCTTAGTATCTCTAAGCCTCAAAATTGTTATCTGAATTGATTCTTAGTTGATGCCACTCCACTAAGTAAGGACTAAGTAGATAGGAATACTACCAATGTGGTTAAATATGTGATGGATGCCTACAGTAAGGGCAAAAAATTTAGATATTATTATGGATAATATTGATTAATATTGTTAAAACCAACTTTTATACCCTTCAACCAAAATATCCTGTGATCTGATTGTTTGGTTTTCTTTTATTTTTAAAGATTTTCTTTATTTATTTGACAGAGAGAGACACAGCGAGAGAGGGAACACAAGCAGGGGGAGTGGGAGAGGGAGAAGCAGGCTTCCCGCGGAGCAGGGAGCCCGATGCGGGGCTCGATTCCAGGACCCTGGGATCATGACCTGAGCTGAAGGCAGACGCTTAACGACTGAGCCACCCAGGTGCCCTGATTGTTTGGTTTTCAATGGCTTTCTGACAAAAAATTTAATTTTTATCCTTATACAAATTAAGTACCGAGTGCTTGGAAGGAAATGACTGAATCACATTCATTTCTGATTCCCCAGAGCTTATATCGTCTTTGGCACAGAGTAGGCAACCACCACAACGAAACCCCCAAATATGTTAAATATTGAGCAGACCCTTCTTTGAGTCACAGGAACAAAGCATAGTCAATATGGCTTGTACACACGAGTGCTTTCCTGCCCGTGCCTTCATCCATTTTAGGGACCAGAGATCATATAAAATAGCACTTGTTTGTATCTATATCATAAACATTCAATAGGATCTTTTTTTTTTTTTAGTAGGCTCCATGCCCAGCATGTTGCCCAACACGGGGCTTGAACTCATGACCCTGAAATCAAGACCTGAGCCTGGGATCAAGAGTCGAACACTTAAACCAACTGAGCCACCAGGCAGCCCTCTATTATTTTCTATTTAATAGCGTCTACAACATTCAGTTATTCAAAAATCATCACAGTGATTTTCATAAGTATGAAAAAGAAAAGGCAGAATGAGAAGGGGAAGATAAATTTTACTGTGTAGGCTTAGACACCTTTTAGGATTTCCAGTGCCCTGAGACAAGAGAGCCTCCAGATTCTCTGCCATATAACCCAATAAAAGGTTATTAAAACTTTTAGGATTGCATTTCATCAGTAAATCCACAAGAACAATAATGATCCAAATTCTGGTTACAGGGGCGTGTGGGTGGCTCAGTCAGTGAAGCTTCTGTCTTGGGCTCAGGTCCTGATCCCAGCGTCCTGGGATTGAGCCTCGAGCCTCGGATCAGGGCTCCCTGCTCAGCGGGGAGTCTGCTTCTCCCACTTCCTCTGCCCCTCCCCCCTTATGCTCTCTCTCCCTCAAATAGATAAATAAAATCTTAAAAAAAAAAAAAAAAGCAAAAAAACAAATTCTGGTTACAAAACAATGACCAAATATTTATTAAGTTCCACTTTAGATGGAATTTTAGATGCCACACATCTCTGGAGATGGCTGTTAACCTTTTGATTTCCAGAGAAGTGAGGCCAGCACAGATAGGTTGAGGGATTTACATGTCTTCCTGTGAATTAGGATACTGGACCAGTGATTTTCAGGAGCACTTATGGCAGTAATATGGTGGATCATAGGACTTCCCATGAATAGTAACGCACTTTACAGCCCAGTCTGAAAATCTGAGATACGGAAATATTATACCCTATGTAAGATGGGAATTTTTATATGGAGCTATCACAGAATGACTATTATTAGATACTTGAGAAATATTCTGTTTCTATACTTTAATAATAGCATGTAGTTGATAGCAACTAATTTTTCTACTGGGAAAACAAATGTAGGCAATAAGTAGTGAAATTGAACTTGCATTGATTTTTATTTTTTTATTTTTAAAAGATTTTATTTATTTATTTGAGAGAGAGAGAATGAGAAAGAGAGCACATGAGAGGGGGGAGGGTCCGAGGGAGAAGCAGACTCCCCGCTGAGCAGGGAGCCTGATGCGGGACTCGATCCCGGGACTCCAGGATCATGACCTGAGCCGAAGGCAGTCGCTTAACCAACTGAGCCACCCAAGCGCCCGAACTTGCATTGATTTTTATAACACAAACAATATCCTCCATGCAGATGTCATATGGAAATTCTCACCTGCATGATATGCAGAAAGGCAGAAGGATTTTCATAGGGTTGTTGAAATAAGGAATTGATAAACAAAATGAAGTTATTTCCTCAGTTAATACTATGTATCACTTAAAAGTGTTATATCTAGATTTAAACACAATGTTGTAGTAAACAAGAACACTTTATATGCAGTGTGACTAGTAATATACTATTTAGGTAAATTTTCAAGAAGACGCTTTGTAAACACATAAATAATAACATTATGGAAACGCCAGAAGAAAATATACTCACCTAATTAATGACAGTGATTGCTTTGGGGGACAGGTGTGCAGGGCAATGGGATCATGTAGGGATTTAAAGAAAGCTAAAATTTTATCAGTAATATTTCAAATCTCTATAAAATATGAGTTTGGAAGCAAATATTAGTAAATGCTTATATTTTAATATAGCTATTGGGTATTCATTATAGTAATAATAGGTAATATTCATTGAACATGTTCGAAGTGCCCAGCAATATTTTAAGGCATTGTTCTTGACCCTGGCTCTAAATTAGGACCACCAAGAATCGTGCATGTAGAGATTATTATTCAATTGGCTCTAGGCAAAACACAGGACATCAGTACATTTTACAACATTAACGGGTAAGTATAATAATCAACTAGGATTGAGAACCACGGGTCTGAGCACTTTATGTTTTATTTAATTTCTCCAAACACTCCAATAAGGTAAGTTCAGTTATCTCCATTTTACCAGTGTAGAAACTCCCCACGTGTTTGTTATGTTCATCTTTGTACTTCTCTCTTTTGCATTTTTCTCTAAATTAAATCGTAGTGTGACCTGTCAAGAGAAATGAATATCAGAGTTGCCTTCAGGGAATTGATTTAAAAATAATTGTATTTAGGAGCACTTGACTGGTTTAGTTGGTGGAATGTGCAACTCTTGATCTCGGGGTCATGGGTTTGGTTGGGTGTGGAGATTGCTTAAAAATAACATCTTAAAAAAAAATAACTGTATTTAAGGAGAATTGATTTTATTATTTATTTATTTATTTTCAACAACATGGATGGACCTAGAGGGTATTATGCTAAGCAAAATAAGTCAGAGAAAGACAAATACCATATGATTTCATTCATATGTGGAATTTAAGAAAAAAATAAATGAACAAACAAAAAAGACAAACAAACAACCCCCAGACTCTTAAGGGGAATTAATTTTCAAAAGAATGAATAATTAAGGAGAATTCTCCCTGTTTCAGTAAAGATTGAAGTTAAGGAAGCACAAGAAGGCTGATTTCAGACCTGGTTTGGGGGGTCTTGTAAGCTCCTAAATTCCTCTCTATAATTAGAGAGTTGGATTTCATGAGGACGCAGCACTTCCAAATGTTTAGGATTAGAAATATATGTAAGCACTTTTACCAATACCAAAGCACTACAAAATAGAGACCAAAAGCAAAACAAAACAAAACAAAACCCCAAAGAGAGTGTCAAACACCAGTGTCAATTTCCCTGAGATTGTGTAGGGTTGATAGTTAATCCTGCATAAACTGAGAGATAGGAAGAAAGTATTTTTTAAAAGTTATTGTTTAATGATCCACAGGGGCATTGTACACGAATACCATCTACTGGGTCACTGACACTGCATGATTTTGTGCATTTAACCAAAACATACTTATCAAAATTTGAAGTCTATCAGGTCACAGTTAAGAGTTATATTTGAAAAGACTAAAAAGACAACCCACATATTTGAGTGAGCATGTATTTCCATGGAGGAGAGATGTCGAAAACAGAGTGATGAAAACCCCTGGAGATAATTAACATGTTAAAAAAAAAACCTTTCT